CCGTGCTTCGACAGTTTCAGTTTACACCAAGTTGTGTCAGGAGCTGAGACAGGAGGATCAACCGCATCGCACTGGAGATCGCTTCGATGGTAGAGTAGAACACCACCCGCACGTGTTGGACGATCGCCTCTGAGAAGATACATGACCGGTAGGCACAACTCAGAGTCGAAAATGTCATCCGTCAACCAATTTTCTGTAACAGCAATGCTATCCCACTTACTGGATTGGAAACGCAACACCAGTTAGAAGAACCTAATGCGAAAACCTTGATCATTAATGTAGCAACAGGCCAAATGTCTTTGGTGTAGAAGCCGCTTCCGGTGAGAAGTAGATTTATTGCCGGCCCTGTCATAGTCGGCTGACATTGGTTTTTTGGGGAGGAAGCCCTTGTACTCTGACCCTCCAATTCTGGAGGGGAGCATGGAACCGGAATCGATTGTGAATTAGCACTGTTATCACACAGTGGAAATTCCGTTACTGCAGTCTTCATCAAGGGTTTCAGGTGCAGCTGCGGTTTTCCTTTCTTCTTGTTTAGTTTCCAAGATTGAAGTACTGTGGTCACCATTTCTGGTGTGCTGAGGGGGACTTTCATTATCTTCGGGCCGTTACCGTGGTAATTTCGTGAACAAGTAAGATGACTGATTGATGTGGTCAAAACATTTTGGCAGTTTATTAGGTCTGTAATGAAACACCATTCCTTATAGTCTCTGTAGTAGCATCTGCACTCATCAGGGTCATTTAGTTGTGGGACTTCATGAATGAGGACAACCCTTTTGTTCTCTACCTCCCGTGTACCCTCTGGATTGTCCCAGTATTGCACGCACTCGCCCATGGTCTATCAGAGAAAATGCGTTTTGGTACTGAAACTGTTTCTCAAGAGGTAACTCGAAAGGAGGACGTTCTCAACGTCTATTTCACTCTTCAGCGTAACTGATACTAACCTGGGTTATCCTGTGTGTGGTGAATTGAGCTGGCGAAGAAGGCGTGTGAGGTTCACAGGTTGGACATCAATTCCCATTAGAGTACACAAACCTTTCCAACGACCAAGCTCTTTTTCTTTCCTTTCCTTCAGTGTTTGGGTTGTCGGTTCAGGTAAATTCGTGGAGATGACTGTTAACTTAGTGTTCCTAAAGCCCCTGCTGCAACTTACTGACTCTCTTTCTGATGGTTTGCTTCAGTGATCAGAGGATGTCCTTCGGCTCTGGGTTATTGGTTATGCCTCTTGTTGCCGTTGGTGCATTGTTGATAACGATTTGCTGCGTACGTTGTAGAGGAATGGTTTCGTTTATGGAGCACCTTGGACGCGTAGATTGACGTTGAATCAGGCTGGTGGGAGGGACTGGGGTACTCAGAGTGGCTATGTTATCCTCGAGCACCGAAAGTTTTGCACTAGCCTTTTCCTCAACCTCTAATAATAGTTTGTCATACTTATTTGTTAGACCTGTTATATATTTCACCATAGGAACCTGTATTCAATCAGTGCAAAACCACGAACAACCTGGTTGTGCAGCCAGCTGTTTGAAAAGCTTGTTCGATAGGTTCGCGCAGCTGGAATTTTTGGCAGTAGCTGCATGCAATACCCGTTTCGATATCTTTGGCGCAACCCAGTTGACCACATTCCTTTAAAATGGCGTGGCACTTGTCGATATACTCCGTCAGCCCATTTCGGTTCGCTGTGAACGGCGAGGGTACAGACGTTTGGCAAAGGTCATGCGAAGAGATATCAGTGACTGAGATAACCCCACGTAAGAGTCAGCGAGGAGTCTGTGTGGAGAACAATGGACGGAGACAGCCAATGCGTATCGATCGGTGTGATCAGTGATCGGGGAGTGGACACACGTGAAAGTGTGATGGCACAGAATTGAATTACACACAAATATATCCGTATCTCTCCTCAAGAATGACTCAGAGAGATGAACACAAGCTGGTTGAATACAGTGATGAAAACTACTCAAAATGGTGTCACAATAAATCCAGTAGGTATATAATTGAGTACTATTGCGCTCGTTAATAACACTGGGAGGTCGGTGTGGAAAACCAAACGGCGTGAATGATCGAACAGTGGAATAAACATCCAACATTTTAGTATCAATGCATGCAGCCCAGAAAACTGATCAGAAAGTGTGCAAACTCGTTGCAGTACGCCGTGTTTTGGCACAGAAGCTCCACTTAATCCGGGAGCGCACTAACTGTGCGGCCGCACAGGACGTGTCATGTTGGTTCAGGTGTTGTCTTCAGTGATAG